CGTTTGATTTCTATTTTTAAAAAGTGCTCTCTCTCTCTCTTTCTTTCTGTCTCTCTGCAGCATTTTCAGCTGGCATTGATCGACTCCAACCTCTGCACTTTGTCCAAGGCTGAGAGTAAGTACCACTTCTCCTCCAGCTGCTGTTACCGGCTGCTGCTGGGTTGCTAGCATGGTGTGATACCTGGATAGGACGCGCCCTCCTCTCAGGGTTGCACAGCGCACGTTGAAAAGGAGCTCAGGAATATTTCAACAGAGCAAATTTGCCTCTTCTGCCGTTTCCCCCCGCTGACTGCTCAAGACCGGGGTTGCCAAGGAGACGGCGAAGGAGAGGGAGCTGGAAGGGGCCTGCAAAACACACACACACTGTGCGCGCACACACACGCGCGCACGCACGCACACTGATTTCAGATTGCATGTGCACTCCTCCTCCCCCGCCCATCTGTGCTTCCATACTGTTGGTAGTCGGTCTCCATGGAGGTCCACGAGGTAAATGTGTAACACGGCAGATTATTTATGACCGATTCTCCTTTTTTTTTTTCTCTCTCCTCTCTCTCCCCACAGTTCAGTTCCACATCGCGCATTTGTATGAAATCCAGGTAAGCGATGATTTCCAACCCACATTTCAAGAAATCAGTACAAAGCTGTCAATCAAACTGACGTTTTTTTACACACACACCTGGTAGTTAAACGTTTCTCTTGACTAATCCATCAGGAATAGTCAGATTTTTGTCATTTGCTGACACCATTTTCCTGCGTGCTTTGATGTTATATTTCAGGTTAATAATCCCCGCCGAGAGCGTAGAGGCACCTTGGGAAAGAGGGATGGGGGGGGTCCTGATGGAAGCAGTTTTTTATGTATGGAGGTCACCGGGTGCAGCTCAGCCCTTATTCAGCTAGTTTTACGTCTCGAAGAGTCGCCTCAGCAGCTGGCCAAAACTCTCTGCTGTGGAAATATGTTCGAGTGGAAAACGAGTTCGGTCCAGCAGCCTCTCGTAAAATCATTTGCAATCTGAGCATTTCCCAAAGTGCCAGTGGCGGGTTAGCGTTTTTAATCGCTTGGCTGAGGGGGAGCGACTTTCGGGGGGAAGACACAGGAAACTCTGGGAGTACGGGGAGACGTTTGGGCCATAAATGGGGAAGCCGCGCAGAGGCCTTAATCGAGTTCATTTTTCTGAACAACCAGCCGTGGTCGGACGTTGAAAACGCGGCTTTCCGTCGTGTTTTGGAGCCCTACACACCACACAGTTTACCACCACCCCAGTGTAGCTTGGGTTATCACCTCTTGGTTGCCTTGGTTTCCCAGCGTCAGTTTAGTGCTTTAAAGCGGACAAATCCGATGCTCAATTTGTGCAAAGTGATATTTGAAGGGCTTGCTTTGCATCTGTGGCACTGGATGGAAACAGTCTGTGGTTTTGCATTTTGCTGATTGTGCATAATTCGTTAGGCACTTGCGGCTGTGCGAAAGAGACAAAGACTGAGAACTGTGTATTCAATCCGAATACAACCTGCATTTTTGGAATGATGGAACTTATATTGACGAACCAAATTGTATTTTTTGGGGGTATTTTGTGTTGACATTTTATCAGGATTAAGGCCGAAAGCGCCCCGCTGATTTTCGCGAGGCCTGACTGAGTTAGGGCATCTGCAAGAGGGAGAAGCCGTCAGGTTTTAAAACAGCCTGGGCCGTGGCGTGGGGTTCTCCAAACAGGAGGTTTTTGTTTTGTTTTTTTGTCGTGAAGCAGCTGTTTCTCTGCTGGAAATGAGTGATGAGGGAGCCCGGAACACTGGCAATGTGGCTCAGTCACATGGACGCGGAAGTGCCCTCGAGCTGTTTTCGCGCTCGCCTCCAGTGGGACGTTCCGGTTTGGCGGGGATAACATTTTCAGCTGGAAGCTGCAAATAGACAAACGGAGGAGCGCAAACAGCTGTCCGCTCTGCTTTCACCGTTCTCCGCTAATCTGCTAAAACTCCAGCAAAGGTATCAAACCCTGCTGTAAAAGCTGGTTACAAGTTTGTCTCGGGGAACTTTGAATGTTCTCTCCCACAGAAATGGACTGGAGTGGAGGTCATTTCAGTTTTGTGGCTAAAGGTGTTGGGAAACACTTGGGCTTTTCGTCCTGTCGGGCATCACACCGAGATTATTTCCTCTCTGTTTTGCCCAACAGAGTTTCTAACAAACACCTTTTTGACTCCTCAACACCAACTTAGTGTCACAGTTAACAATCAGACTAACTGGACATGCAGTTACAGCATTTTACACCCTTTTTTGGCATTAAAGAAGTGTATTTGGAGACAGGTTAGTCACTAGGGTTTTTTCTAATTTGCCTCAGTGCTCACAGAGGTTATTGTACTTGACGCTGCCAATGGTGCGTCACAGTAGTCGAATATGTGGAAACAGGCGGCTAATACTTCCCATGCCCGTACTCCACCAGCTATCAAGAAATTCGGAGCCGATGTTTTTCATTTCATTGGGCTTTCCACAAGCTGGCTTTCCTATTGGCTGTGTGGTAGCAACCTGCTAAGATGCTATTTGGCTTCGTTTAACGTCCTTTTTGCGCTTGGCAAAATCACTTCACCTGACTTGGGGGTGCGTTAAGCTCAACACATCGAACCGAAACCGTCCTCCCATCGTGGCCCCACACCTGTTAGCAGGGCCTGGATCATGCGATAACAGCCGCCCTATCTCTGTTTGCCATCTGACCTCGCCTCGGCTTGATGGCAGCTCAAACAGGAACAAACCACTAAGAGCCTCTCCTCATTTATGTGGCCCGAAGAGTCAATGTTTACCCCGGGGTGTTTTTATTGTGCGCAGACGGGGACGGGTCCAGACGCATAAAGCAAGCCACAGATCCCCGCGGGGCTTTTGAAGGTTTAAAAAAAAAAAAAAAAGTCTGTAACATCTCTGCCGTTAGCGTAAGACGGCTTTGCGAGTGTGTGTGTGTGTGTGTGTGTGCTCACATACCTCCTCTCGCTGGTCCAGACTCGGGTTCAGCCAGGTCGGCGAGTTAAAACAAACGCTCGGCTCGGGTTTCCACAAAACACAAAGCACACACAATCGTTTAAGCGCAAACACACACACACACACACGCGCTCAGAGCTGCCAGACGTGTTGAGTCTGGCCTGTCTTCTTTCCACGCCGACCCGCTCCCGGTGTGTGTGTGTGCGGCCGGTCATTAGCGCAAGGAGGTCTTTTAGACTCTTTGTCTGTCCAGATAGAGCCATAAACCAGCGTCCTCCCCCGTCTGGCTCTAACAGCCCCTTCCGTCTCGACCTTTCTCTTAACCCCCCCCCCTCCGCAGAAGAAATACAGAGCAGCCAAAGAGGCGTACGAGAGTCTGCTGCAGACGGAGAGTCTCCCGGCCCAGGTGAAGGCGACCACACTGCAACAACTGGGTGAGTGACCCTTTCTTTTGGTCTAACACCCTCACGTGCATCGTGCTGTTCTGTGAAAACAACCACTGATTTTGAGAGTGTGTGTGTGTGTGTTTCTGTGCGGTTTGAACGGCACACTGATGTTTTTTTTTGTGTGTGTTGGTTTGAAAATGGTGCTGCCTTCTTTGGTTAGGGTCCGTTAGGGTTAGGGTCTTACTTAAAGATGGGTTAGGGTTAGTTACTTAAAGATGAAGCACGTGAAAAGCTAAACTCATTTAGCTTTTAAGGATCTTGTCCATCACAGAGATCCGTTTCAAGCCCGTGACTTATTGTCTAACTGGAGATTCTTTATTTGCGTCGGCACGCTTTGTCAGACGAGGGAGAATCTGACCCCTGCGTTAGAGCGGCGGGCAGCCAGCGGGCCGGAGGTGACGGACGCACCCACACGACCACCACGGAGGGGGGGAGCTTCGGGGAGTAAAATTCTCCTCAGAACGCTCATCGTTTGAAGGCCTCCGGACACCCTCGCTACTTTTTCTCTCCTTCACAATCGTTCAGAAATGTTAATCAAGTCCAAACCGCACGTTTGAGCTCGGCCGGGCTAAATCCTCCCATTTCCATTTTCCTTGTGGACCCCAGCGCCCGCCGCCACCCCGCCGTCTCCCACCCAGTAGCGAAAAACCATTCACAGCTCTGCCCGCTGGGGTTGCCATGGCGACGGGCTTGCCACAGGTGTACGGGAGGAGGACTGGAGGGGCCTGGTGGCCTTTGTGTTTTTGCTGGAAATTGCCTGTTGCTGCTGGGAGGGACTGTGCTGTGTGTGTGTGTGTGTGTGTGTGAGTGTATGTGTGTGCGTGTGGGCGTGTGTGCCCTTGTGGAAATGGGTGTGAGGCAGGAGGAGTTGTTTGCCTCATGCGGAACCGTTTGAAGTGTGTGTGAAGAAGGTCCCCTCCCTGTTTGTCTGCCCTTTTTCACCATTATAGTGGAAGCTGCTTTTGCAGGAACATCTATTTTTTTGCGTCTCCAAGCCGTTCTTGGCTCGTCGTCAGATCTTGACCAATCACGCTTGATTTCTGGCTGCTGTCCTCAGGCTGGATGCATCACACCGTGGAGCAGCTCGGGGATAAAGACACCAAGGACAGCTATGCCATCCAGTGTCTGCAGAAGTCTCTAGAAGCAGATCCAAACTCGGGCCAGTCATGGTACCTTCTCGGCAGGTAAGAAAAGAAAGGGGCGGTGGGGTTTGGGGGGGGCGGCACACCGGTGCTGAAAGATGTTTTTAAGTCCCGATGAATGTTGTTTTATAGTAAAGCTAAAAACCCGTTGAAGCCCATAAACTGCTCGTTATTGGCCCTTTTTTTTGTTTTATTCCCAACCTCGTTTTAACTTCTGCCCTTGCTTGTAACTAAGTACTTGTGGTTTCACTCATGTTTAGTGGAAAGCCCCTGCCTCAGTGAATCCTGTGATTAATTGACAGGAATTTGGATCATTCTCCTGCCGATTATCCAGTTTCAGCAAAGCCTTAGCTTTTCAACAGGCCGTCTTACACTCGAACCTTGATACTTCGGTATCATTTTTAGTAGCTTTTTCTGTCTATCGTGTAACAAAAGGTGTCGTGTTATTCATAAACGGACATGGAGTTATTTCAAAGGATGAGAAAAACAACTCAACAAGAAATTGATCACCTTATTTTCCAATTTGCCGTCCATCTCCTCTCCTCCAGGTGCTACTCCAGCATTGGGAAGGTGCAGGATGCCTTTATCTCCTACCGCCAGTCCATCGATAAGTCGGAGGCTAGTGCCGACACCTGGTGCTCCATAGGGTAAGAGTTGGTTGTCGTATTTATGGGCGAGGGAACGAGGATAGCCAAGCGAAAGCTTTAGATCAGTGACAAATTAGGTGACAGTCGGAGTCTCGTATCTCCTGAAAGTGGGTGAGATCTAATTTCCTCTCTTCTAACGCAGCGTGCTGTACCAGCAGCAGAACCAGCCTATGGATGCGCTGCAGGCCTACATCTGCGCCGTCCAGCTGGACCACAGCCACGCCGCCGCCTGGATGGACCTGGGCACCCTCTACGAGTCCTGCGGCCAGCTGCACGACGCCATGAAGTGCTACATCAACGCCACGCGCAGCAAGGCCTGTCTCAACACGGCCGCCCTCACCCAGCGCATCAAGCTGCTGCAGGTGGGGCTGCCCTCACACGCTCTTGCGGGGGGCCATTTTGACGTATCGTGGAGTATTTCTTTCATTTTTTTTTTTGTGTGCGTGTTGTGTTTTAAGGTGCTGTGTTTTTTTTTTTTTTTGCCAAGCGTTGCCAAATCAATCCGCTTTTTTTAAAAGAATGCAGATTGGGCTTTTGTGATATTTGATTTGTGACTACGAGCATATGAATGATAATTCATATATGTGTGTTTTTTTATTTTATTTTCCTCACTTAATTGTAAAGCATACATTCATGGCATTGAACATTTTTTTTGTATTCTGTGTACAGTTGGCACCACCTATAAGTAAGCCGTAGTCCTCTCTTTTCCTTACAAGCTCAGCACTAAAGTTTGTGTCTTACACAATTTCTCCTAGGCTCAGTTGTGTAACCTACACCCAGGTAGTCTGCAGAATAAGAGTAAAATGCTTCCTAGTATTGAGGAGGCATGGAGCCTTCCCATTCCTGCTGAGCTCACGTCCAGGCAAGGGGCCTTGAACACTGCACAGGCACAGCAGGTGAGATCCATGGTTCGCTCCGCTGGCCAGCCACTTGGCGTCTGGGCCAACAGATAAAACACGACACAGTCAGGTGGAGCCGAAACGGGGGCCCACATCGCACTAATCTTGTTTTTTAGAGTGTAGTTGTAGTTTTTAAATGATCTGTTTTGAGGCAGTGCTGCGCAGAGCTCTCTATGTCCAACAGGCCTCACCCTCTCTGCAAAGATGCACAGCCCATGTGCACTCATTGCAATGCACTTGGCAAACTGAAAGTCTGATAATGCATGGTTAATGGAAACATGAAGCCTGGATGCATGTATTTTCTTTTTTCGTCACTCTCTCTTACCTAACATTTTAAATAGTTCCAAATTAATTTAGATTTTCACAACCCTCTTTATACAAACAGTAGACTCACGTTAAGCCCCAAAGGTTGTTGATACTTGAACACCGATGCGTCATTTCACAGCTTTTTCACAAAACGAATACTCAGATTATTGCATTCATCAGCCTCTCTTACTAACATTAAGCTGTTTTCATCACAGTGTTGTCATACATACATGCATTCAATCAATCACTTATGCATGTTAATGTTTAGTATTGGTATCGTCCTTCAGTGTCACTGTGCAGAAAAACCTTGGATCTGTGGTTGGAATCGCTCATCTTTGGGCTGATTTTAAATGTAAAAAAATAAAATAAAAAGACAGACCGGATGAGTTATTTTTGCTTACGCTGTCAGTCAAGTGTGCCCTCTCAAGCTGTGTATCCGTTGGGATCTGCAGGCCTGCAAGGGGGAGGGAGGCCAGCCTGCCAGCAACCACACGGACCCACAGGCCAGTCCTGCCAAGAAGAAACGCACTGCCAGCCCAGCTAAGGTACAGCGCAGAGCTTTGGCCCTCCCAGCCGCGACGGGTCATACGGAATTAAAAGCCGAGCTTAAGGTTTGCTTGTCCTTGTGCCGTCCGCAGGGTGCTGCAGAGTCGTGGGCCAACAGCCCCAATCAGCAGCAAATCCCCAGCTGGTATCTAACACCACAGAAGCTTCAGGTAAGAACAAGCCCCAGCCATTGTTGTCTGAAACGCAGCAGCCACCATCTCAGATAGGCTTGTCCCGATCCAATATGCCAAAAAAATGCATGTCGGCCGATCCAGACTCCAGATCCAGTTTTTTTTCTTAAAGTCCGATCTACACACGAGCCATTTGCATCTCCTAACCCACAGGTCTGTGTCCTCACCATTAAGTTGTTCTAAGAGTAAATCCCTGTTCAACATGAGTCTGACAGCAGGCTAAATAACTTAAAACTTTAATACATGCTCTGATGTGCCTGTATCGGATCGGAAGTGCAAAAAAGCTGGATCGGGACATCCCTAATTTCAGAGGCCATTCACCCACTGTTTAGCAACTTTTCGCCCTCACATCAAAAGACACAGTGATCCTTCAGGGTGACAACAATCATCTTTCACGCTTTGTCTTATTGAACATGAAGTAATGCGATATTATTGTGTGCAGCACCTGGATCACTTGCGGACCAACCGAGCAAACCTCAAGCCCCCTCAGTTGCAGATGCTCGAACAGCTGGAGAACCAGTTCTCCCTCATGCAGCAACATCAGCAGCAGGTACCCGTCTTTGGACAGTGTAGATAATTTTATAGGTTGAGAGATGGAAACGGGAAAAAGGCCATCGCCATCGCCGGTCGGTGTTTGGTTTGAACTGTGAACATTTTCCCTTCCCAGATGAGGCAGCAGGCAGCAGCGGGTGGCCAGCCCCGGCCCGGCCTTCCCAACGGGCCCCTGGCCGAGCCGTCTCACCGCCACGCCGGCCTCCCCCACGGCTCCCCCCTCAACCACCACCACGCCGCCGCCGCCCGGCCGCCGTGCGGCCCCCAGCCCACCGCCAACGGTTCCTGCTCGTCGAGCCCTTCCGCGGGGCTGCCGGGACACCCGGAGAAAAACCACAGCGCGGGACTGGGAGGCGGCGGCGGCGTTGGCGGCCCGAGCAACGGAAACGTGCCTTACCCGCAGCAGAACTCTCTACCTCAACCCTGCACAGCCGCCAGCCACCCCAGCACCAGCAGCACTACCAGCAGCCCCCGCCACGCCGACGAGGCGTGGAGGAGCCAGCAGCGCAACACTACCACTCAGGTACTCCTCCGGACACGCTTTTAAATGGCCGTTTTTGTTTACGAAATGAGTTTAAAAAAAAAAAAACGGTGTCCCTTTCTCCGTGCAGGGGCTTCAAAAAGATCCAGGTTCTCATTCGGCCGGTCCCAATGGAGAACCCCCTTTCTCTTCCTCCTCCTCCCCCCAGACCTCCTTCTCCTCCTCCGGCATTCTGAATCAGGTCGGACACTGCTCCGGGCCCTGCACCGCCTCCTCCTCCGCCTCCTCGCTGTCCCCCACCTCCCCCCAGACCACGCCCAACCACCTGTCCTCACCCCCCCACGCCGCTACTACTACCTCAGGGGTCCACACCAAAGACACCATGCCTTCAGGGGGCAAAGGCGCCGCCGCCGCTTTGCCACCGGGTCCGTCGGCCGCCGCCAGGCCGCCCGGAGGGACGGCGCACAGTCCCGGCTCCGCCCCCGCGCAGGGATTGGCTAATCACATCCAGCCGCGGGCGGCGGTGGACGGCTCGGCCGGCCCCTCCCAGCCCGGCTCCCCCGCCCCCAGCGCGCTCAGTTCAGACAATCCTCAACTCTCAGCCTTGCTAAAGGGAAAAGCCAACAACAACGACGACAACAACAACCACAACAGCTTCGGGAACCACGGAGGGTCCCCCCCGGCGAAAGCGAACCACGTCCACCCGGCTCTCCACGGGGCCCCGAAGCCCCCGTCGGAGCACTCGGCGGCGTCCTCGCCGCTCTCGGCCCACGCCACGCCCTCCCCGCGCCCGGCGGAGCCTCACGCCGCCAACAGCCTCTCCTGCCTTAACAGCCCCTCCCACCCCAACAGCCAGGGCCCCGCCCTCAACGGGAAGGGGCCCGGGGACTCGCCCAGCCCTCTGAAGGCGGAGCCCCCCGGGGGGCCCCGCAAACACGCGGGCCCCGGCGCCCTGACGCCCTGGTCCTCGGTCTCCATCTACCCCAGCTCCGGCGACGTCCTCAAAGCCTGCAGGTGAGCCGCGTCCTGAACGCATCACTGAGCATCTCGCAGCATATTCCGCACAGATAAATCCCAGAAGAAGAAGCTCCTGCTCCTGGTTTGGGTCCGGGCCACAGTGACCGTGAACAATCGGACTAAAGCAGGAGAAGGAGGGGTGTTGGGAATATGTTTCAGGCTGCAAGCTTACTTTTCATTGTGGACAGAGAGGTTTCAGGATAGGGATGTCCCGATCCAGCTTTTTTCTCTTCCGATCCGATACCGATCCCGGCCTATCAGAGCATGTTTTCAAGTTTAAAGGTATTTAGTCAACTTACTTAGTTGTCAGACCCGTGTTGAAAAGGGATCTACTCTTATAACTAGCCAGCTGAATTAGGTGATTTTTTTTAATAGTACACAATGGATGATGGATTTTTTTAACTGGATCCGTAGTCTGGATTGTCAAATTTCTCATGCTCGCCAATACGCATTTTTTGGTAATATCGGCGGCCGAGCTGATCCAAATATCGGATCGGGACAAGCCTATTTCCGAGTTCTAATGCGTCAGCTGGGAAAATTGTTTAAAGGCTTCACTTTTTTCCAAATATAATCGTCAGATATGGGACGAGACGGAGCTCTTTCATCAAGCGCCACAAAGTCGGCTGGATTTTAAAGGTGGCACCCTGTTTGTTGTGGCTGTGCTCGATTTGAGCCGAGGTTAGCACACGCTTTGGCCGGTCCGGTTCACGTCCGGTGTTAAAAGTCACGCATCCCGACTGTGTAAGCGATGGTGGTCCGAGCTCGGCTGCCTGCTCCACTGTCCACTGAGCATCAAGCATCAGGCGGCATGGCGTTCCCAACACAAAGACATTGAAGGCTCATATTTATGTTGTGACTCAGATATAAATGGATGTAGTTGTTTTTTTGGGGTGACGATGCTCATCCACTGTCTGCTGATCAAGCGAGGTTTTGAAACTCTGGCGCGAGTCTCGGGGAAGAGCTGGAAACGGCAAAGCGCCGGCCCGGAGACGCGCAGTAAAATTTAAAAGGGCTCTGAGCAGGAGAGCTATCTGCCACTTGGCTCTAATCGCTCCGGGCAAGGACGGGCCGGATGGTGTCGGAGCTGTGCCGCCGTGCAGGGCTTAAAATGGAGCGCGCTCTCTCTCTCTCTCTCTCTCTCTCTCTCTCTCTCTCTCTCTC